TTCCCAACGGGAGGAAAAAGACTCTTCGCATTGTTGTTTGTTTGCGAGAGTCCGTTGGAGCAGTGGGAAGACCTCGGTGTTCACAAGGTACCTGAACGGCGGGGGTGGACGTGGCCGGGGCCGGAGAGCTGGAGCGGGGGTGCTGCCTTGCCGAAGAAAAGCGAGAGCGGAGCAGCCCGCAGAGGTTGGAGGTAAGCCGCGAAGGGAAAGAAAGGGGACGTATTAAGAACGTCTGAGGAAGAGCACCGCGGTTTCTTTCACATATCCTCTCTGAGAGAGGGAAAAAGATAAAAAGAGTCCGATCTTATGCAAGCAATTGACTCGGGGGGCAGAAAGGACAAGAAAACACTATTAGAGCTTGGAGGTGTTTGGAAGAAAGTTTTATATACCTTACAAAGCATGGCCGCGGAGAAAGAGGCAGCGGAAGCTGCCATTCGAGCATTCGAGCAAGGCGGCGCCGGCCCTTCGCCCCCCCGCTGCGGCGGCGGCGGCGGCTGCCGCGGGTGCGTGCATGCGCAGACGCGCGGCTCGCCGGTACCCGGCGGCGGCGGCGGCGAGCACCGGCCAGCCGCCTGGGCGGACCGCGGAGCGGCAGGCAGAGCGGGGCCGGCCGGAGCGGGGCCAGCCGGCACCAAGCCTGAGGCGGCCCCGGGGTGGAGCGGACATCGGCCAAGACACAGAAGGTTCCTTGTTGCCGAGCAACAGCGCAAGGGTGGAGACGGGCATTCCCCGGGGCTCGGCCGCGCTGGAGTCGGAGCAGGCGGGGCGCGGCCGCATCAGGAGCGTCTCCTCGCCCGTACCCACAGTGACGCAGCAAGGACGGGAGCGAGACGGCACCGTCCCGTTCCCCCCCACCCCCCTTCCCCTCCCCGCAGCGCCCAGCAATGGTGGCGGAGGCGCTGCACAGCTTGGTTGCCATGGTAACAACAACGCCGAGAGCAGCAGTGCCACCGATGGCGAGATTGCAACACTACAGCAAAAATTTCAACAGCATTTTTCCAATTCCTCGCAAGAGTCAGAAGACATAATGAAAAAGTATAGCAGTACTGAGTGTTTTCCAAGAAACCAAGAAGGATGGACATTATGCAAATCAAAGTTATTTCAAATACAATGTGGATGAAAATTACTGTAAAACAAAAAAGGATAGAAATGTTAATAATTATTTAATTGCTAAAAATGTCTTTGAAAGCAAAGATTTGAGAAAAGTCAGTCAGATGGAATGTTGGCATTGAGTTCACAATTTCTGTTTTTGAGATTTTATAAATGATAATATAAGTAATTATGATTTTTGAATTTTATAGATAATAAGATAAATGATAATTGTCAAGTTTTTGTAGGTAATGATAAATAGTAATGATTGTTACTAATGTTATATGAATGCTTGACAAGATTGTTTTAAACTATTTTAAACATTTTTTGTTAATAGGTTGATCATATAATGTAAGTTGTCTGATTTTTGTGATAAAAATTATTATTAAGATGTTAAGGTATTGAGGTGTTGTTTTAATATTTACAGTCAGTTTTCATATGTTTTATGGGGTTTTTTTTTTTAGGTGATTGATTGTGAGATGTATTTTTCAGGATCCTGTGTGCTTGATTTTTTAACTACTCATGTGTTTTCTTTATTCAATTTTCTATGCAGCTGCAGTTCATCTTTTAAAAATTTATAGTCCAAGTTCTGGTTCAAGATTTCAGACTTCAAATTCTCAGATTTTTGAAGAAAAGGTTTGTTGTATTTAGAGAATTTTTGTCTTGAAACAAATTTTAGACAGGTTCAATCATTTGATGTTTTGATAAATTGTTAATAATAAGGTTTTTCACTTATAACTGTTATTTTTAAGACCTTTGCTTTAAACATATCCTCCAATTAGAGTTCGAGCTCTGGCCAGGCTCTGGCTCTACGTGGATGGTGTGATTGATCCAGATGTTTTCTGCATCAAAAAGTATTCAAGTCCTTTTGGCTTGACAATTTGACCATACAGGACAGCTGAGCCTCAAAGGGAGTTTGGAGAAGCATGATCCGGACATGTTTTATCCAAATCTCTGTTGTTTTAAGGTTTTTCAGCTGCTGCAGACTCTGGGATGACAATTTGATAGTGTAGCACTTGGTAACTGTGATTTTATATGTAATATTGATTGTGTATTATTTGATTGATTTTTATTTGTTGTTAGTTTCTTTACTATGTGCATTGTTTTGTTCTTAATGTTTTTCATGTTTATAACAAAGATGTTGATATTTCCATTTCTTCACGCAAGTTTTAGGGAACAGAATTGAGAGAGGACCCTCCAGTCCCTGTGGGAGTGTTGGGTTTGTTTGTGTTTTAACAGGTGCAGAATCTGGATGGATTTCAGTGAAGACTGTGGAACTTCTCAATTGCAAGAGGGCACTGATCTCTCCACAAGTGGATCAGAGGATGCACAGCAAAAGTGGATTGTGCAAAGATTTGTGTTTCACCCACAGAAGATCGTGGCCTTTGAGTTTTTTTTTATAAGTGTGTTTTTAATGATGTTATAGAATTTTTTTTGCTAAGTTTTTAATAAGTTTTAGTAATGCCTGTGATTTTTCTGTTCATCTTGCCATTGTCTTTCAATGGCAAAAGAAAAAGAGGGAGGTCCCAACGGGGATCAACAGAAATTCTACTTGAGTGAGTGTTTTTACCCATCCAACCAAGAAGTCGTGTGATGGACAGGACAGATGCTCTTGCTGCATTGATACGAAAAGGCAGAAACAGAATTTTAAAAATAGATGAAACAGAAAAATAAGTTGAAATATCATAAGTGTGAAGTTAGATTTATCAGAAGTTAGTTTATTAGAAGTTATAGTTTATGTTTAGAATTAAGATTGTTTCTTTCATGTTAGACAGGGCATTCAAGAACCTGACAAGAATGTGGTGGGCCTCAATGTTTTTATTTCGCACTTGTTTAATTTTTGGAGTCTCGTTGGGTCCCATGGCAGAGTTCAAGACTTGGACCTGAGCTCAAATAAGTTTAAATAGCACTCTGGGAGCGCAAGCTGTTGCATTTGTGCAAAACCTTAAATTTACTGATGGTAGTTTTCAAGAATTTGGTCTTTTGGGTTCTGTCCCAGGAAATTACTGTTTGATATTTGGATCTTATGCTACCAAACCAACTCAAGAAAATGGAAAATTGACAGATGACAACACTTGATTGTCTCCCAGATCACCATTGTAATACAACTATTTAGAATATTGTAACAATTCGACTCCAAGAGGTAGTGCAGGAAAAACTGCCCCCAGGAACCTTCCTCATTTGTGGGGACCGAGCCTGGTCAGCAGTCCCTCAAAATGCTAGGGGAGGCCCATGTTATATCGGTAGGTTGATGCTTTTTGCTCCCACCATACATCAGGTTCTCGAATTGCCTCAGAAGACTCAACGAGCCAAACGCAGTGTTCTCCAAATGGACACTTCATTTGATAACTGGCTCAATTCTTCAGGTTTTTCTGGCTGGGTCAAAGACAGTGTGTGCAAAAATTAGTTCATTGAGCCTTCACTCCAGCCTGAGTAGCTCAAAAGAAAAAGAGGGAATTGTTACAGCATTTTTGAGAGAAAGAGGGCATGAATTGTGAAAGTTGAGCTACTCCAGGCTAGGCCTCAGATTGAGGCCTGGTGGGGCCCTCAAAGCCTCTGACGAAGTTAGAAATTCAGGGTTGTGGCGCAGGTAGAAAATAGTCTTAAAGTACTGTGGGGACCACTGAGTTGTCTGGGTGTGAATTAGTATAGGTTTTATGGTGTAAAGTGTAGGCCGTTTTAAGGGAAAGGTAAACAATGTTAGCCTACCAATTAGAGTGTCTTTGTTTCTGTAAACTATGTGGAAGCTTATATAAACTACCACCTTATCTTGAATAAACGGAAAACGCTTGATGAACCACATTGGTTTGAACCTGCGTTTGTCTTGTCCAGCTTTCCGTTTTTCTGAGATTCCCTGGCTTTAGGAACAATTCAGTTTGCTTTATAAAGAGTGAGTTGGCACTTGTCAGTGAGCTCAGCTTGAGACGTCCTTCATACACAAGTAGATCTCTCTCCCTCTTCAGCAATCCTGAAAGGGGACTGTGGATGGCCAAGGAGGCTTTCAGCAGGCAGACAAATTTTGTTCCTTTCTATTTGTATGGATAATTTGTCTTAAGACCAGTAATGACAATAGTGTACTTAGTATCATATTCTTTCCTTCCCAAGCAAGCTATTTTTGGAAGGTAATGTGCAGCTCAGAATGATGGACCATGCTGCCACAGTCTGATTTCAGTCGAAGGATTTATCCTTTGTATTCCACATCCTCTTGTCTTTTTCAATTCTACCTAACGAGAATGCTCTTGTAGCTAAAGGCAGGAAGAAATCTGTCACGTACACAGCTCTCCCTCCAGCATGCCTTCCCTCTCCCTTTGTCTTACTCTCTCTTCTTTAATTGGGCTAGAGAGAAAACATTTAGCAATTTCTCTCCCCCTTTCCCCTCATTAGGCTAACGATGAAGTATTCTGTTTCCAGAGTGCCCGTAGGAGCACAGTATAGCAGCCACTGTTCATTGTTAGCACTGGAGGATGAGAAAGTGGTGGCTTCATCCAGAATTTATGTAAATGAGAAGGTATTTCCTTGGGATCAGATGTAATACAGAAGTGAAAAATCAATGGGGAGAATTTCAGACTCTTGCTTGGTGGTGTTTAGAGCCTCCTATTATCTTACAACCTTGGTGTTTTGAGTGCTGATATTATCTTATAACCTTGTTGTTCCTAAAGAAAGAACATTCTTCCTCAGGTACATTGATACAGACAAACCTTGGGCTTTTTACATATCTTTTCAGGGCTTTAAGATTTATTTTGCCTGATTTAATTTATCACTTTTCTAGGCTTTTTTCTCACTTTTATCCATATACTGACAAATCCATGTGCACTAAATTCCACATTTTTTTCCATACACATGAAATTAGAACTGTTGTCTTTTTTTTTATCCAGCCTTCCTACTTTTTATTTACTTCCTTTGTTTTTTGTCCTTCCTTCCCTCCTACATGCCTACCTTTCTTTCTTCACTTTGGAAAAAGGCAGTAATGAGTTCTAATAATCTCTATACTTTGGTTACTGCTGCTAATTGCAATCAAATTTATCACCCTCTTTTAACTTCTATTTGTTACCATTTAAACATTCTCAAATTGTAGTCACATTACTGACTTACTTGTCTACAGAGCTAAAAAAATATAAATGGATAATTAACCTACAAACAGTACAGGTTACTATGTACCAAAGTAAAATTAGTTTTAATTGCAGATTTGGAAAAGATAGGCTGAGGTGCCAGAAGAAACTGCATTTAATGCAACTGTATTTACAGCAGAGTGAATGATGTATAAATGCAAAATTGATATATTCAATAGTCACTGCCTGCAGCTCATTTAATAAAATTACTAAGAAACAAAAGTTCCTATAAATTTGAATCCTGATATTTAATGTGTCTATTGATTTCCATTAGAAATGTTTAAATACTTTAGGACACTGATTAGTTAGCAAAACCTCATATTATGTCTGAGAGTGAGACAAATAATAGGCCCTTCATACAAGAGAATAAATTGAAGCACAGAGTAAAAGTGTCTACTAGAACTTCACAGAATTACAGTTGTATCTAAAATAAACTAAAATTAAGAAAATCTTGGATGGAACTGGAGCTCTATGTGGGTCATGTGTAGCTTCTCTTCTAGAACAGCATTTGGTCTGATCCCCTTTTGTCTTCCACCCCATGCCAAATCTCTCAGGCTCTTCTTCTGGCCAGCATCAGTTGGCAGGCTTTGCTGTTCCTGAGGCGTGTCTAACCCTCTGTGCAGAGGTATCACTTCCAGAGAGATGCCATGGGAATGTGCATGCTCACAGATATTTCAGGCAAATAGAGTGTCAGGACCTGACTGTGTTCCTGGGAAATATGTGCAAAACTAAGAATGGTTTAAGGGAAGGATGAGCTGAGCCCAGCATCCCAAGCCAGCAGAGTTTGCAAGGAAGTCTCTGTGCAGATTCAATCAGTGGCCTCTCTGCCAAGACTGTCAACAAAGGTGCCAATTAGTGCCAGTTGTGATGATGATTTTTGTGACGCCAGCACCTGTCCACTATGAACTGGACTGTGACCACCCCCGTATTTCCCATTAGATGCTGAGCAGCTGTCAGGTGGTAGTAGAGCTGAATGATGTATTAGGTTCTGTGCAAATCAGCAAGTCAGACAGGCTGTATTGTCTCTAAAATGCCTTTCATGTCAAATTATTTTAATCTCTCTTTAATAATGCAACTGACTTTGTTCCTTTGACTTTAGTCTGTTTTATAGCTCATGGATTATTATTCATATAATACCGAGTAACATTGTGTGACAAAACAAAACAAATTCAAATGCAAGTATAACAAGAATTTGAGCTGCAGGCACAAAAATCACACTTGCAAAAATGTATTTACACAGCCTTTTAGTGGCAATAAATTCTGTAATTGTAAATGTATCTGACTTCGGCACAATGTCGTCTTGATAAACAGAGACCTGTACAGAGATGTGTTTGCAGTGGACATGTACAGTTTCTAATGTATGCAGACTTTAATACTGTTTACCAGTTTTACTTTTACTGTTTACCAGTTCAGTTTAGAGAACAAAAGCAGCTTTTTATATGCAGATGCACACCAGGTTTGCATGCACACATGTGCTGAGATCCTTACAAGGAGACCATTGCTCCTAGGGAAGCTGGTGTCTCTCAATGCCATTGTCCCAAACAAGCACAGGCCTGCACTGATATGCTGTGCACACAAAATGTGCTGTGCACACAGCATGACCTCAGGTCTGTGCTGTGCTCTGCACATCCTCTCCCCGCAGGACAAGCTTGGCGGGCTGACTGTAATGAAGTAGCCTGTGGGCAGCTGCCACTGGGTCACACCAACTCCTTGCCTTCATCTAAAGCAGCAGCAACAAATTCCCATGTGTGTATCCTTTTTTCTTTGACTGTGAAAATGATTAATGGAATTATTTTGTTTTGGAAAACTTTACAGGAACTCAAAAGACTGAAATGTTGTGTCACCTTTACATGAATAGGATCTGCACAGGATACTGAACCTGCAAGGAGGCTCATTTAGTGGTGCATACCTTGGGCTTCCCAGCACCTGAACGGATGCAAGACAATCTGTGCTAACCTTTTTTCTTTCTTCTACAATAAATGTTATTTTTCTTCTTTCTTATTTTCTTCTTTCTTTTCTTTCTTCTACAATAAATGTTATTTTAAACCATATTTCGCAGAGTCTGAGTGTCCTTGTAGTGGGATTACAATGAACCAGCAACTCCTGGCACAAAATCCTATTTGTGGGAATGTGTGTGCTGCACACAGCCTGTTGTGCTTTGATGTGTCTCTTTTGTGATTTTGCTTCAATATGACACCTTTCCATCAGCCTCGTGTATTTTGTTAGTTAATTTTGTTCTGCTGTAAATTTATACAATGTACATCAGAGAGGATTATATGATCCTTGTACTTGGAGATGTTATCATGGGTACATGGGCACAACATTTTATGCAAAACTCATATTCACCATCCCACTGAAGAAAGTCTTCATGGAAATGCCCAAACCCCACATTATTTATCGGAAATAATTAATAAAAGGAGGTGTCTTTTCAAGTTCAAGCTTTTGAACTGGTTCATAACAGGCACTTGATTATTTTGGTAATTTTTCAAAAAAGAATTACTGTAATTGTGTAGTGAAAAAAATCCATTTTATAGAAAAATTAAATAAGGCTGCACAATGTATTCAAGGTGTTCTCCATGTTAAATACTGTGTGACACAGCAACACATTTTGCACAATGATAAGAAGTAAAAACTGTATAACAAAACCCAGTTCCTTCATCTGATACATTGGACTGACTCACATTGGGTCTCCCCTCAAAACCCTGGATTCTCTATTCAGTCATGCCCTAAACATGATCTTTTAAAAGATGGGTACAACTGCATATATATTTTTAATAGCAAAAGGATATAAGGTCAGATTTCATAGTAATTATAAAATTATAAAATATAAAAATTCACAGATTTATATTGTGAATAATAATTAGGAACTGAAAAAATAGTTCTATATATTATGTTCTATATGTGGCATATTGGATGGCCGATATGTTTGGTTAGGAAGAAGAAAAGAGCTATTTGTAGTCATTTCAGTTTCAAGGACTATTAGCTTAATAACAAGGAACTTGACAGAAACTTGTATCTAGTGGATTTTTTCTAGGCACACAGAAAACATTAATTTCTGTAGGTACTTATGAAATGAACACACATTAGGGATTTTTGTCTGTAGTTTTGCAAATCCTTTGAAGTTCTGAAATAGATTGCACATGCCCATGCATTGAAAAGCTATCCTACTTTATAGCTGCAAAACAAAGGATGAAAAATACATTTACAATCTCCAGTGGAAAATAAAATCACTTAAAAATAAAATAGAAAAAAACCCCTAGCAAGTATAAATATACATACTTATACATTCACTCCAGATACTGAAAACATATTTTGGATGTGGTTGTTTTGTCTCTCTTGACTAAAGCAGAATGGCTGTTCTCTGTAAGATGCTGCATGTAATGTACCACAGAGAAGTTATTCTTCAAGATGTGTGAGAAAAAGAGGTTCAGCATGATTTCTCATGGTAAGCTTGTGCAAACCCATGCAGGTCTACTTCAGCCAGTAGTGCTTCAAGGCTTTTTATCTTTGGAATATATAAAATGTTTGCTTTAATAATTATTAATATCTTGAAAAATCAAACTTGTTACATTTGTGGGTAATACCACATGTATCATATCTCATGAGGACTGCATATAAGTAAATAATACAAGGGCATGCTATATACTTAATTTTTTCATTTTTAAGCACAACACTTTTTCAGTTGCCATAATAACATTCTACATGAGGACCCTGATGCTGTATTTCAGCAAGAAAATACAACATCCAGTTCGAAAAGTTTTTTTTCCCCCCTTAAACCTATAAGCAAAAGGAAGAGTCTTTATGCAGATAATGATTTAAAGTAGAAATTCTGATGGTTCTTATATTAAAACAGACTAATTCCTTTGCGTTCAAAGAGTTCCATGCCTTCAGAGACTCCCCAAAGCAGGACACGTGCAATGTGTTGTGTGTTGGAATACATTATCTCTGTTCTTAAGTTTTTCAAAGAAGAGCTGGAAAATCTGTATTTTCAGCAGTGCTGATGCAGCACATTATTTGTTGCAGTTCAATATATTATGCAGCAAAACTCGGTGTACTGTGCACCTTCTCTTAACATATCTTCCCATGTTTAAGACTAGAAAATATTAATGGAAAATGGGCCATATAAGCAGGAAACTGTGTTGTAAAGGAATTTAAACAAATAGCATGCATTCTGGCTTTCTGCTTGGCTTAGGTTTTTGAAATCTAGACAGAATCCACATGGGACCATTAAAGCAGAAAGGGATTTATTCTCTGTAGTTCCACCACCTTGTTACAATCCTTGTCATAGAAAAGGAAGCAAGAACCTTGTGCCATTTTCAGTTCTTGTTTAATATCTTCTTCACAGGAAAATGCTGCCAGGATATTAAACTCATCTGTTCTTTTGAATAATAAGTATGTAATGCACCATTCTGACCTTTCCAAATACTGTGTTTCAAATTACTGTTCATTAGATTTTTTTTTTTCTTGATTAAAGTCTCACTAACCTGTTGAAACAGAATGAAATAAGATCTAGTCAAGACATAGCATATCAAGCATGATCATAACAAAAGCACATATATGTATAGCTCAAGGATTATAACAGATAATAACATTTTGTTGTGCTATATGATTGCTCTGTTCATTCATAACAAAGAAGCTAAAATTATATTTGTTTAAGTTTTCACATGCTAATCCAGAGTCACAAGCTGAAGAACTTTTATTTGGTTCAAAGTTTAATTATGAGAATAAGAAATACTCCATTTCTGGCTTCCTGTAGAAAAGTTTCAGAGATGAAGTCATAAGAGAACTGAATTATAATCCTCAAATGGAAATGTAATTAAATGATAAAATATATATGACTGAGGACCAGATTCTGTTAACCTTACTCATTTTTTATTTAGATTCAGAAATAGATATTAAGGGCAGAAGAAATGATGCATTATTGTCTAGTCTAACCTCCAGCGTGGTCCCAAATGTTATCTATCAGCTTCTGTAGCTTCTGAATTATATGTAGCATATCTTTTTAAAAGACCCAGATGGGTCTAATGGTTGAAAGTCTCTTTCTTAATTTGGTGATGGGGGAACAGACTGGAAGTCCTGGCTCCAGCTAATTACACATTCCTTCCTCCTAAATTAGAGGGCTCTTCACTGTCAGGAATTTTTTTTGCCTGTAGGTACCTGAAGGCTGTAGTCAAGTTACTTCTCAGTCTTTTCTTGACTGAATTAATAGCTAAGAATTTATTTAGTATTTCACTATTGGTATATTTTCCTGTATTATTTTTTATTTTCGGAATTATTTTCTATACCTATTTTTGACTTTCCATATCTTTTTCAACAAACCACAAAGGTGCATGGCTTTCCAGTAAATTTGACAAATGTGAAAAAAGTGCCAATTTCTGAATGCTATTTACCTATTTACTCTTACAAAGATTATATTTGTCATCAAATAACGTCCCATTCATAGTTCATATCCAACTTACATTTATAATGACTCTGTGTCCTTCTTAAAACTATTATTTTTCTGAATAACTCAGGACCAAAACATACTTAAACCAAAATTAATTATTAATCTAAATAAAAAAATAGACACAAACTGTCCTTTTATATACAATTAAAAATAAGTCAATACACTACTCCCTTGTGTTCACAGTTTAATTATTTTATCTGTAAGTGTCCATATTAATGGGACTTTAAACTGGATGTTTAACCTCTGCTGAGGAGAACTGGCCAAGCTTGGGACTAATGCTACAGAATTACAGACACGGTGGTGATGAAATAACTGCTAATGGTGCTCCTGAGAGAGAATAACTCAGTGTTGGTGTGGATGTTATGAATGCCTCCTGAGGGACTGCACTATCTGTCAGACCAATTGCTTAGCTGGTGTTTACCTTTTCCATCTGTGTGGATCAGTAAGCATTTTAAAAAGCACTGGGTAAGAATCTATTAGCACTTATGAAACCACAAGATGAAATAAGGAAAAAAAAATTGTTGTAACAAGGAAATTGCCCAGTCTGGGCAGTGGATTTCTTTTAAGTGGTGCGTCTCATACTGACAACTATTAAGAGATGAACATGGGGATGCAATGACAGGTAAAAATTCACATGATTCTCTGTAGGAAAATCAGGTAAGTATCATCCAGAGGAGCAACAGCCTAAAGTTCCATGTGTAACTTTTCCTCAGACACATTTTTTTTCTGAGCCTGAAGATCAGTATTAAGGAAAAGAACATTTCCCTGGAAAAGAAGCTGAACTCCAGGATTCAGTTGTAGCTACAGGTTATACCAGTTGCTTTCTGCTACAATGCTGGATCCCAGGAGAAGGCAACCATCAGTCAGGAAGGGTTTATGTTGAATAGATGCAGTATTTACTATTTTCTCATTTTCAATTCATACAGACAGCTCAATATCAAAAGGAAGTAGCAAAGCCAAAGTAATTTAAGATCTTTTCAGAGATCTAGTATCCCTAAGGATGCATATGTGTTTAGTCAGGCACACACAAAGTGACCAAAATGTGAATTTACAACCTTTTCGAGTGTCTACATATTTGAACTAATGGTGTGGCGCATCAGCTGTCCCCTTCTGCTTGTGGTTGCCTTCGAGGATATTCTTACTGGGGACACTAAGGCTAGATGTATGAACTAATTTCCATAATCTAACCTCAAGTGACTACAGGAATCATGAGAACTTCCTGCTGAATCCAAAGATTCCTTGGAGGAAACATTTCTCCTTGTGCAACTGCAATCCTTGGCATGCTTTCCTAGCAGGGCAGTACATGGAAAGAAGACTGGAACTCCACAGTGCTGCACATGGCTTTTGCCTGTCTACGTGTGGTAATCTGAATCTTTCAGGATCATGAATGTTTTGGTTTGGGCTGTTATAAAACCAGCCACCCATACAATAGGACCATAAGGCTCTTCCTCTTCTCTGAGATTGCTGTTACTCACCTTATTCAAAGTGCAGAACTGCACAAATACATTTTATTGACAGCAGGATCAGGCACCTTCCTTTTTCATCCCAACACTAAGCCTACACAAAATTTGGCATCATTGATTTTATGTTTTGTTTCCTTGGGACTCTGAAAAAAGGGCCCAGAGAATAACAAATAAACAAACATCATTTGAAATGAGGAAGGAGAAAAAGTGAAGTGTAATTGAACAAGTGTGTAAAATGGACATGTTATTTTGCAGCATTAAGTAGTGACAGCTTGATTTTCAGAACGTTCTATCTTTTACTTTGAAAAATAAAATTGGTAGTAAACCTAGTTTTCTTGACAGGCCCTTGAAGAAAGGATAAGATTTTATGTGACAGAAGATCTCATTGTGTTTATTAAACATTTTTTGTGTCCCCAAATAATTAATCAGTAAGCCAAACCCATGATAACTAATTTAATTTTATCAATGGATTGTAACATTAAGGTTTTTCATATTTTTCCTTTTTTTTTTTTTTTTTTTTTTTTTTTTTTTTTTTCCCTTCTGGTTTCTTTTCTGCTTTTTAAAGTTTTGGGGTTTTTGAAAAGTTGTACAATTTTCTCAAAAATTAATAGCTGAGTCTCTTCTCTTAAGATATTAACTATATATGTTAATATATAGTTAATTATGAGAATAAGAAATCGGAATAGTTTTTTTTGGTAATTGGATAGATGTCTGGTAAAATCACATTCTCTTATGAAAAGGGAAACAGGTGAATATTGACAATAGGCTTCAGGACATGTTTTTATACTGCAAAGAATTTTGGATTTGTTATAACAGAGTAGGAAGGAAGACAAACCCTTCATGTTTGCATAGACAAGAAATAATTATTTTGATAATTTTGAAGTCATATGAAAATTCTAATGCACAGACCTAAAATTCAATATGCAATATTGTTTGAAAGCCTTCCATTTTTCTCACAGAGTTTAATGAAGTCTACTGTCCAGAAATGAATAATATGAAAATACAACTTGAAAGAACTTACTGAAACAATTAAAATTGCACTTAGGGGTATTTTACGAATTTTATTTTTTATTGTTTTGTAGAAGTTTCAAGGCATCAAACTTCTTTTATGTGGACCATTCCAGTCTTCCCTGAAACTTACTTAGAATTTACTTCCCTGCCAAATAGATTTGTGAAATCCAAAAAGAAAAAAACTAGTGTACACTGAGTACCTGCCACAAGTATGTGAAAAGCTAGTCTGAAGTCCATGAAACGCCAGCTTGATCATGGCACGTCCTATTGGGATCCATAGAGCCTAAAACCACAGAACCAACCAGAAATTCTAAGCTGCTTGTACCCCTGGTTCTCAGCACCAACACCTGCAATTTCATTCTCATTCTTCTCCAACTTTACAGTGCTTTTCAATAGCTGTGTATTTAATCTCTTAAAGAAAAAAAACACTATCCAAAAATAAACCGCTTTGGAAAATAATTTCAAATTTAATTCCCTCTGCATTCCAATTAAAACAGTTTGCTCATTATTATAGCTTTAGTTTGTACAATGGAATATTCTGAACATATTCATTCTATATTACATATATATGCACTGTACATAAGACAGACAGCAGTTCCAGGTCTGTTAAATGTTTTCACTTAACACTTATTGAACACAGTCTCTGGTGCTGTGGGATGCTAAAACTCTCTCTGTGTAAAAGCAAATAGATTTCAATGATGGTCCTTATAACCTTGTGTTTTATATTTCCTCAAGTTCTTCCTGTGTCAGATCAATATACTCTTTTAAAGGGGTAAAATAAATATCCTTTTATTTATCTGATTAAGGGTATCAAATCTCAGTTGCTTCATACTGCATCACATGTGTACCATTGAACTGAAGGCTTGATTTCAAATCTTCTGAAGTCAGTGAGCATCACTGAGGGTTTGTGCTTGCCTGGATTTAATCACCACTGTCCTTTGTGGTCACTATACCAAAAAGTCACTGCATTTCCAGTCCTGAATGAAGAATGCTGGTCATGCACACAACACCGAAAGTGAAAAAATATGTACCAGGAGGTCAACAATAAAGAATGTACCTTTCAATTTTTTGTTAATCCAAACATTTGTGTTTCTGATTTAGGGATTATGGTTCAGCAGATGCCAACTGTTTACATTTCAGGAAAGGTCCCTCTGGTATGTATGAAGGGCTTGTCCTGAAGTGAGTCTGCTTGAGCTCTATAAATATTTGGAGGTAGCATGCTACTTTAATAGAATTAATAAAAATAGTGGAGATTTTTATTGGTACATAGTCGATATTCCACAGAACACCTTCGAACTGACTTGATGTAGCCCATTTATTGAACTGTCTGCTGTACTCTCATATTTAGCACACCATCATTTTACACAGGTCTTACCACCTATACACCTATGATGAGACCCACTGAGGTGAACAGAACATCTCACTGTAGTAAGACATCACTTTTCTTTATATTTTACTTTCTTTGTCTGTCTGACATTAGAACTTGCTTACAGGTATCAATTCCTGGAGTTGTACACAATCAGAGTACTGGGAGAGAAAGAGGTATCTCAAACTGCAATATGCAAATTGTAAAGGCTAATGATTTAATGACATCTTTTATAGCTTATGGTAAATCAAACTTTTGCAGTTTTAGTAAAAAGCTTAAATGAGTTCTCGTGTTTATTTTTCACAGTTATTACATTTATCACTCTTAGCTATCCTTTGCTTGGATAAGGATCATTCAAATCTTTTAAATTATATGCCTAAATATATTTTTTTTTTTTTGTTGCATTGCCCTTCACTCTCCTTTTGCCCTTGACAAAACCAGTCATGCTGTCCCTTTTTCCAGTTCTCACAGAGAACTAGTTGTGCCACACAATTTCCATGTGATAGAAATACCTACCTTTTTGTTGACAGGACAGACACATGCAGGATTCTATGAGGCATCTCTACCTCTGAAGCATATACATTGTATTCTCCAAGTGAATTATTTGCCATTGTAATGTTACCCTTACCTCATTCTTCCAGCTGAATCCACAGATACCGGGATGAGCTGAATGATTTTCAACAGTTCAAAAATGCTAAACATAACAAAATATTACAGAAAGTATTTCTGGGATATAGGACAAGTAAAAATTCGACGAAAGAGATCTGGAGCACAAGAACAGCAGATACACAGAAAACATAGAGAACACAGATTACATTTTTTAATTTAATTCAGGATAATTTTTTCCGTGTTGTCATTATATGATACATTAGAAAAGCCTGCAAAAGTCTCACAGTCCTTGCACCCTCTTCTGAGTTCTCTGCAGAGCTAATTCTTCCTAATCTAATTGAAAAACTCAGAGTGAGTACCCAAATATCCAAAATATTTTCCATTCAAGTACCAGTTAAACAACCAGTCATTACAAAAAATCTTGCTCTCTATGTCAATACTGTCATACCTTAAATATCTCTTTGCACTAGGGTCGATTGGGTGCAATTAAAAAGCTGGATAAGATTATGATAAAAAGCAATAGGAATAATTGGAAAGCCATAATAAAAGGCATTCCACCACTTGGTATTCATATAAATATTGATGCTGAATATACTTTAATTAGAATATAAGAATATGACTCATTAGTGAGATGTCAAAATAGCAAGTGCATAAAAATATAAGTAGGCTAGAACTGGAAAGACAAGACATCTCAGACATTATGTTAAAATGGGCCACTGAGAAATACACCACTATGCAACATGCATTTTGACAAAATGCAGAAAGATGTACTTCAGAACTCTGGATACTAATTTTTATTCCTTGATTTTAAATTCATTGGATTTATAGAAAATATCTAGGAGCCATTGTGTCCATCCCTAAAAGAAATATCTGCTTGATGTGTAACTGATGTCCAAGAAACAATAAACTGTTGAATGGGATGTGCAATTACAGTATCAGATAGCCCAATAGCCTGCTTTAATCTGTACCAAAAATACTTGAAAAATTCTAGTGGCTAAACTGTCAGTGCTCCCTGTAGATGAAAATTTTATTATTAATTTAATTTAGAAACAAGCAAAAGCAGAAAAGCCCAGAGAAAATCAACTTTTTTAAAAGATGCCAAATGAGCTTGAACAAATCGCTATGCCTAATTCCTACTAAGCACTGAACTGAAATGCTTCTAATGCATTTCATAAATATGTGTTTATGAGCAATGAGAATAACCATAATTCTGGTGAAAACATTACTCCCATATTCCTCAATAAGAATAAACATGGCAAACTCCACTTAAGTCTTCTAGAGGAACCCTTATGTCAAATTCTGTTCTGTACATTTAACACAGATAAAAATTCTAGGGCAATGTTACATCTTATTACAAAAAAAAAACCCCAAAAAACAAGAAGTTGTAAATTCTTCCCCTTTGAGACAAAAATGAAACATCAGATTCCTGAGCCTGGGGATGAACTTTCTCTGTTGGCAGTTATTCCTGCTGGGTTTTAGTGATAGGTTTATCACTAGGTTTGTAACCTTAGCTTAGGTGTAGCACTGATTATCCAACAGGCCATCTCTTTCTGGGTCCATACCACATTCTGAAAGAGGTCCTCTGTTTATGAGTGTAACTGCTTATTTCACCAACCCCCCATGCCCAAGTGGAAGATGATTATATAGTCTGGTGCCAACACATGCAGCCTTTATCTGTGCTCCATTTACTGAGAGATGAGGGTGCTTCATGCTGATCATTTTAGTTTTTAACCTATAGAAAAGTATGATTCCAACCCGTGTTATTTCTTATTTATATAAACATGTGTCGCCCTGATTCTTGAGTTTTCTAAAGCCTTCTGAGTTTACATTCTATTGCGAAACATTCCCACACAGTTTCTGTAAATAACGTGTTGTTTTGCATTCCTCCATGGGGGTGGAGAGACTTGATGTACTAGTGCTTTGTCCAATGTCTTTGGAGAGGTGGCCCATTCACTCTCCAATCCACTGTCACCTTTGGAGAAGTATAAAAGTTGGAGTCAAAAAATAAACTCTCTCTTTTGCCTTGCAAGGTAACAGGTGGCTCGCGTTGTGCTTTCACGTGTCCTATAGCGACAAACATGGATAATTTGTTGCCTGTTTTAGTACTATGGAAAATGATGCATGCATTGCCAGCCTTTTCTTGACTATTGCTTAAAAGGAAACAAATAAGACAAACTCTGGGTTCACATTTAAGGTTTTAACTTCATGGAAGTTTGCTGTTAAAGCTATAGAGTGCAAAATCTGTTGCCCTGGCAAGGAAACTTCCTATGCAAACATCCAGCTTTCTGCTCATGTCTGGGCACAGCAGGTTTCAGGAGCTGTTCCAAGTCATCCCTTTAAATCTGCGCTGTCACCTGATTTTGAAGCACCTTGTAGTCCTTGGGTCTTTATGGGTAATTTCTATGCAAGCACTGTTGTGTAAGCACAGCATCCTTGTTCCTTGCCTAAATTTCAGTTCTCCCTGCTAGGCAGCCTCCAAGGCACACAGCTTTTTATTTTTTTTTTTTAAGTATTCCATCTTGCTTTGTGTTTCCAACTTCCATCTTGAGATTCCAGCCTTTCTAACTTTGTGCATTTATCCAGTGACTAAGAGGATACAGTTGCTTGTACTGAGGAATTGCTGCCCCAACTGAAGTCTTTGAACTTGTAATTATCTTTCAAAAGTCTTTACTGTACCATCTATGTTCAAAAAGGTTTTATATCTTAGAATGACAAGTTTAGAAGTACATTAAAGGAGACATTCAGAGCATACAAATGTAACTATGGAGATGAGTGTTAAATATTACTTTACAGGAAGATGAAAGTGCATGGATTGAATTTCCATCTTGGATTAGGATTGTAACCAAAATTTACTGGTTCTGTCTTCTTAATTTTCTTTATGTCCCATGAAGACTGGCATTTTTAGGTTGCAGAAACCTCTGAACAAATCTACTATCAACTCAACAGGAGCTATGATTAGCAAAGGTAGGTAACAGAAAGGACAGGAAACTGCAGCTGTGTGAGAGAGAGGCATTTCCAAAGAGTCTCTGAAAAAACTGAGTTTCCTGTTTCAGCAGTGGGAAATCTGCTCCTAAAAGAGGCCTTGAAGAAGAAGTCCATTTCTGTAGGACTGGAGTCCCTGGGTGGGCAAGGATAGGTTGGATTCAAATCTATACAGGGACCCTCAGCCAATGTCATTCAGCTCTAAATGCAGATTTATCACTGGCCAGAGGGCTGAACAGGGCTAAAACTTCAACAAATCACATGTGCAATTGCAGCTCCTATGAAAGGAGCTGTGGGAATAAACTCAAGGCTGTTTGTCACAAGAACTTGAGAGTGTGTGCTGTCTCTGTCCTGACTCACACCCCCATCAAGTTACACATTTCTTTAAAGGAAAATTAAATGTCCACTGTGCAAGACTTCAGAACTGCAGTTGTTAAGTTATTGCCCAATTTTAGACATTTTTGCATAGGGAAGTTCAAACTAGACATTTTTATTTTGGTCAGGAGATATCCTGTGCATTATCTCTGCATTATCAGAGACACAGAATAGAAGCAAGAAAGCTGACAACACAAATTGGATTGATAAATGTTAGGGAACCCAAAAAACCATGATGGGGGAGGGAAGTCTCTTTCAGTAGACTGGAGATTAAAAGGGAAAAGCAAGTAAAAAATACCCAGCTTTGCCTGCGATCAGAAAAGGCTGCACTTCTCATTCAAAAAATAATATTAAAAAAATACTCAACAAATAAGTCCTACTTTCTCAAATAGCAGTAGAAGTAGAATCATGGTATTACTTACTGGGATGAATGAAGTGGTATAATTTTATCCAAAACTTTGGATCATTCTGTGAATTGGCATCCCATCCAATTTATTAAATTCAATGAAGGTTTACAGAGAATATATGGAAAGACCTGACCTTTCTCTTATCAGAGTGGGCTACAAAGGAAACAAAAGCATTCTGTGGAGACTTCTGTGTTGAATTTTTGGCCCTGCCAACTCAGCACAGCTATCACAGCTCTCAGAGGACAATCTGGAAATGCACAGTGACTTCAATCCTGTATATTTGTTTTGCTTGAACACAGTAGACAAGAACTCTCTATGGACACTCTCCATGCTTAGTCTATTATCCCAAGAGGTCCTGAGGAAAGAACTGATATTCTGCAATAATTTGCTGCTGCAGCATCTTACTCTGCTTCAGTTGTGTTGGCCATTCCTATAGGTTGTGCTCTCTCAGAGTACTTAGGGAGACTGCAGCATATACCAGTTTATCCACAACCATGTTCAAGTTCAGAAAAATAAGTTAAAAAAAAAAAAAAAAAAAGGTTTTGTTCTTCACCCCCCTCCCCAACCTAATTTCACATATTGAGTCTAAGGAAAAATTTATTCTTTTGGGTAATTTGTAGAGAAGTACAAATAGGTGCATGGAGTACTAACAGACTTGCCAACTTATTCCAAAAAAAAGGGTGCACTTAAAGAGTAGCTGGGCAATTATTAATAATGATAATGACAACATCAATACAACAATAATAACAACAACAATAACAGAAGGGGACAACTGAAGAACACCATGAAGGGTAGAAGGGAAATGTACATGGGGTAAAAATTTTATAGCTTGCAGAAACATAAATAGTAGTGATAAGACATAAATCAAGAACATAGCTACTTCATCTTCAGGCTGAGGTTACAGGATGACAATTAGAAAACTCTGTTTTCAATATAAGTGGATTTGTTTGATTGTAAGTCACCAGATACAAAAATTTGGTGCTCAAGAAACGTTTTAAAATGAAATAAAATTTCAAGAAGAGCTGTGATTTAAAATGCAACATTTATTTCTACCTTATAAGGCAGTGTTAGAAGAAGTTCCCTTAATATCTTCCTCAGTATCTTTTATATTAGCAAATGCTCATATACTCAAGTGCAAAATTACTGTAATAGAAAAAGGGAAGGGGTTCTTTTAATTTGATTTGCTGTTTTGAACGTTCAGTGACCTGCAAAACACGCAAAAAACCCATTGGTTTATTCACTCACTGGAAGGCTTTAGAAATATCTTATCACTTTTACATGAGTAATAACTGCCAGAGCTGTGAAATTTGGTGATTTGGATGTTAAGAATAAACATTGGTACCACTGATGTACCTTATATATGCTAACAATAGGTACAAAAGTTATTGGATTGCATAATATTCATTTCTAACCTGGAGAAGACTTAGGATCTTATTCCATGGAAATAACAGAATGAATGGAAATCAGGTAATAGGATTAAACCCACTGTAGAGAGATGTGAAGCATAAAGCCATAGTTAATGACTCGTGATCTCTCTCCCTCCGCCCCTGTCAATGAAGTCTCTTTATTCCTCTTTGGTCTATGCAAATCATGTATATTCCTCTCATCCAGCAGTTCATGACCTTGTTAGAGAACTTAGTCTTCTCCTTAAAAACTCAGATGATGGTAAGATTACTTTTTTTTAAACAGCAATGAAATGTATTCTACATGTGTGAGTAAAATGAAAAATACTAATTCTGAAATGGTAGCTCTACTGACTAGAAATGTTTATGTAAATCAAATTTTCATGTCTTTGTTCCAAGCACTCCAAAAGAAGATGTGATGCTGAAACCAGGGCATTATTTTGGCATGCTTACTCCTTCACCTGATTGTCTCTGATCTCTTAACATCTGCATTGTGGTTCAATATCACAAAGCAAAATATGTACTGTTCTTTCCTCAGCTGAGCCACCTGTGGAGCATTTCAGAGTATCTACATGTGGCACTCGGTGCCATGGTTTAGTTGAGTTGTTAGGGCTGGGTTGGACTCGATGGTCTTGAAGGTCTCTTCCAACCTAGTTATTCTGTGATTCTGTGATGTAGATTGAGACAATACTTCATTATACAAATATACATCTCTGGGACTTAACTCTTATTTCGAGTGACAACAGAAACTGTTTAAATGTTTCTCATACTGAAAAGATCTCAAATTCCGTATTTCCATTATGAAGATATTCATACCAAACTCTTACTGAATAAATAACATATGCACTGTTATTGAATAAAAAGAATTGCATATCTAAATAGAAGGAATTGAAGTCTTGTTTTAAAGACAATTGAGTCTTGAGTACTGCTTTAAAGACAGTACCACTTTATTAAATCATATTGTAATGTACGCAAAATATTGCAATATCTTTAAAATACAAGATTATAATTAGCATTTCTTTAGCTGATGAAACTCCAGAAAATACACTGATAGATATTTTGAAGGTAAGTTTTTCTTACAGATCCTAAGATTTATAAAATAACCTGGAGGAAAGCAAAACACAGAAGTCAATTCAACTTGTGCTCAAAACCAGTGACTGAAGTTTGCATGCATAATTAGGAGATCTCTGTGGAGTTAATCTAGTAACATTGTGATAAATCTTGGCTTTCTTCAAACAGGAACAAATTTGCAGACTATTCAAATTACTATCACTCTCTTGGCAATAGTGCAATAAAGTTCTGATTTTAAACCCAGAAGCATTTGCTCCAATAGTATTGCTGTGGATGAAATATCACACTATTTTGTCAATATCCTCTGATCATAATATTATTTGGTGTGATTGCAAAGTAACTATTAAAAATTACATCAAAGAGTTGGTGGTATCTTTAAAAAGCAGAGTTATTTTTCTGGCAATCCTCTTGCTTTCTTTGCTATTGTCCAAAAGACACAAATTGAGCTGGCGGTGTATCCTTGCGGCCCAGAAGGCCGATGGTATCCTGGGGTACATCAGGAAGAGCACTTCCAGCAGGTTGAGGGAGGGGGATCCTGCCCTTCTGCTCAGCCCTGGTGAGGCACATCTGGGGTGCTGTGTCCAGTTCTGGGCTCCTCAGTACAGCAGAGACATGGAGCTCCTGGAGCAGGTCCAGTGGAGGGGAAAAAAGATGATTAAGGGATTGGAACATCTCTCTTACAAGGAAAGGCTGAGGGAGCTGGGCCTGTGGAGCCTCGAGAAGAGGGGACTGAGAGGGGACCTCATCAGTGTCTATTAATATCTGAATGGAGGGTGTCAAGAGGATGTTTCCAGGCTGTGCTCAGTGGGGCCGAGCAATACAACAAGATACAATGGTCAGAAACTGATGCACAGGAAATTCCACCTGAATATGAGGGAAAACTTTAATATTTTAAATCTTTTAACTTTTTGCAGTGACTGAGCAGTGGAACAGATTGTCTAGAGAGGTTGTGGAGTCTCCCTCACTGGAGATATTAAAGAATTGTCTGGACACAAGCCTGTGCAATGGGCTCCAGGATGGGCCTTCTTGAGGAGGGAAGTGGGATCAGGGGCCTCACTGTGGTCTCTTTGTGATTCTGTGAAATCGCTTCCCTCTCAGACCTGGGCATGCGGATAAATCAAAGAACATCATACTTGCTGGAATGGAAGATAGAAGTATCCTAATTCTTCTGTGAGAGAAGCTGGGATTAGCACTTCAGGAAACTTTCAACCCTATAGAAATGTAGGTCCATGACAAGGGTCTGGCATACAGTGAGTCTTCCAGTCACTCATATCCCACTCATTGTCTGGAGATGATTTCTAAAAAACATGCATTCAATTTGCCTTGAAGTTTAAGAACAGTCAGAGAGAAGGGAGAATGAGCAAAGCCACGCTCTGCCCAGATTAATGGTTGTCAGTCTGCTCATGGACCTGTCAAATGTAACTATGCAAAGTCTTCTAAGAGCAGGAAGTGGATTTGATATCAAAGGCTACATACAGGCAGCAGCTCTTGACTCATGGCTTATGTAAGTGCATATATATATAAGAACAGAAGCCTCTACTTAAACCAGCCAGTCAACAACTCTCTTTCTTTGCTGTGGTGTGTCTCCAGAGATCCTTATTCAATTATTAATGCATCTGCTGCTAATTTCATCATGCAGAGTGTGAATCTGTCTTTCCACGACGAGCTCTAAGGGAAGTTTGTAAGAAATATAGAACTTGTCAGCACATAAGAGTCAACACATTACTGCTGTGCTGCAGCCATTTATAACAAAACTAAAATGAGCACTCACTTGTTTGGCATTAATTTAATGTCCCACTTAGCTCCTATCAGACGTAAATAGCTGCTTCATCCATTTAAGCATTTCTGTTCGTGCACATAATGAAGTACTCTGTACCTGTCAAGTAAGCAGAATTCATAACTGAAATAAGAAATGGATGAGAAAATTCAATCTACAGGGGTAGCATCAGACTTTTTTTATGGCTTCTGTGAGATTCCCCTTTTATTCCATTGTTCAGAGACTATAAGAAGACATGACAAACACTAGCATGCCAGAAATGCTTCTAAAAGGGATATCTGTTCAACTTATGGCACAATTAACAAAAGCTGTAGTTGTTGAACATATGCTATTGCAAAATAAAATAGCTAACCTACCTCTCGGTATTTAAATATTTTTATGTTATCTATTTTAGAAAATCAGAATTTAATTTTAAACAGAACTCTAGCTGTGATCATATTCTCTAGAGGAAATTTTTATGAGAATGAACAGTGGTAATGACTACTATTAGTCACTGTCATTAGCACAAAACATTAGAAATGACAATATTTATAACAGGCTATGACATGACAGTTAAAATATGACTTTCTATCCTTTGTGTATGCTTTGACTACAGCTGGTTGCTATTTTCTAAAGTTAAACTGATAGCAGTCTGGTAATGGTATATTTAATAGCATGTTCATCATCAGATCTAATTGTTTTCCACCACAGGGTATGAAGTTTTATGTCCTCTATCAACCCAAAACAAACAGCCCTACTGCTTAATGGCTCTTCAATTAATGTTTATGGTGATACTTTTATAACCTAAGTTACAAGAAAAAAAAAAATCCAACAAAATCCCTCCAAGAAACCATTTAAGAATTTAAGAAGCTTAATGGGACTTTAACCAATACCAGAAATTACTAAAACATGTATGAGATCCCAAAGCTGAGGATGTGAAATAGAAAACACTACAATGATATTAGAAAGATGTTGGAAAATATAAATAGAAGACACTGAAAAATTCTTCTAGCACAGTGTTATAATTGCCATTGGAGTAGAGAACAGATCTTCGTGTTGGGGTATTTGGTTGAGGGACTTCAGGTTGGCCACCTTGCAATTGGTGTGGATGCTGGGTCAAAACAGAGAAGGCCTGTTCATCCCAAATCATGCACAGCTCAGACTCTGTTGCTCAGACTGCAAACTTATTCCCCTGAGAGTGATTTGCCCTCAGTAACCTACATGCTAGCCTCCTACTCATAATTCTTTTCCCTATTTAGCAGAGCTCATACTGATTAAAATAAAAGAACAGTTCAAAGACAGGTTTCTTTTTAACTACCTTGGTGCATATTAATTTTTGTCTCTCCCTTTTGTACTAAGCCTCTATCAAGAAATGTAAAACTACTGTAAATACCTTTTCACTGGAGAGCTGCCATTGTTCTAAATTACAAACATAAATGATTTCTGACTTGGACTGTTAATTGTACATAGCAGTGATATATTAATTTTAAACTTCACATGACAGTTCAGACACCCTGATTTTGAGTTTTCAATGATACATTATGAGCCTTTATTTCTCTGACACCCAGGCAATTAATCAGTGACACTCCTCAGCCCCCAAAGTAGCTGGACACCATTAGACAAGGAAGAATCAGACCTGAGGGGGGGTTGGAATTTCTTTACAGGAAATACTTGGGTTTTTTGCATCATAAACTCTGCTTGACATTCATTGCAGCAAATATATTTTAATAGAACTGCTGTTATTCTGCCTCTCCTCCCAGTCTCCCAGGAGGTTTTGGTAGCTCAACATGATGTTCAAAAACAGGCAAAAAATGCTCTGCGAAGTTTAAAGGCTGTCAAGCCTTCTTGGCAAATTCCCTCCAAGAGCACAGCTGAGAAATGACAAACCTATCACCTGACTGGCTGGTGTTTAAAGCTGACTGCTTTTGATTAGGAAGCAATGAACCTTCCCTTCTGGAGTTCATTCTGTGTTTTATAAGCACCTATTCACTGAAAATTATGCAGTTGAACTGATTTGAATTTGATTAGCGTAACGCTCCAGTTTTATTATTTGTAGTAAATACAGGCATCTCTTATGTTTTTTTTTACATTTAGGAGAATGTCAGGATAGTTAAAGACTTACTTTTACTTCCCATGTATTATTGCTTGACATTTAAAACAAATCCAAGAATAATATATGCCTATATTGCAGTTACTCACTTGTTGTGCATTGCTCAGCATTTACTCACACTCTCCTTCTCGCTGCTACAGTGGGAAGAATAGGATGAAGGCAATCCTGCCTATTCAAGGACAAAGTACTGTGTCCCTAGCAGGTAAGTTGAGCTAGAAGTAACTGTGAAATGCAGCAGCTAATGTCTTTAATGGAAAACTCCTGTATTAAATTCCGTGCCGCAGACTCTGTGATATTTCAACAGGCAGCAGTGAGGAGGAGCAGAGCTGCTGCCAGAGGGGCCGGCACTGAACACTGAATCGCTCTTTCAATGTCAGCCAGCTTCAGGAGCTGCAATGTGAATGCTCTGGGAAGCTTGATACCCTTTATCTTCTGACAGCCTTTCAATTATATGTCCTTTCATATTATTACATAACTTCCAATGATCTGCACTGTGGACCTCAGTAATAAAAACCCATTTCATGCCCGAAGAACACAACTTCTTTGGGAAGTCATATTAGACCTAGACGAGGTGCAGTGCATTTGACCAGAAACAAATACTAAGTGGAGTCAGATGGTCAGGTCAATAAAACCTAAAAATAATATTTGACTTTGAGAGAAAAGAGAGTTCAGGACATAGCCTAAAGGCTAGATTCAGCCCTAGATAAACATTTATCTCTGTATCAGTGCTATAAGGAGAGATTAGACAACCAAACTTAGATGCTGCAGAGGGGTTGCAGATATATCTACAGAACTCACCAGTAAGGAGTGGGAGTAACTGAGAGCTTTCATTATTGCTGGTATGGTCCATAGTGTCTTATGTCTATTAGCTTCAGGCTGAGTATTCTGCAATATTTAATTCTACCTATCTTGAGAAAAATGCACATACTTACACAATGTATCTCCTTATTTACTTACCTGTTTTGTAGACCATCATTATAGTGCATGACTACAGCAACATATCTCAGCCATTAGGGATGCTTTTAGAAAAATAAAGGAGGCTCACTTCAGCTGTAATTCCAGCTAATAGTGAAATATTTGTGTGATAGATGCTTTTTTAGTACTTCTTGAGCTTTCATTAGTACAAGCTCACTGTCTCAAAAATCTGTAACATATTAATTTCAACAGTATCTGTATAAAGATGCAAGACAAGAAGTACAAAAAAAGCTGTTTTGGGTCAGGATCTTTAAATCTTTTATTCCAGTCATGACTCCCGGGATTTGAGAACCCGTACCTGAGACTAGTGAAAGCTGTGGGCTGTCAGTACTTCTAAAAACAAAAGTATGTCTTCAGTGCTCAAATACAGAGAGAAGCATCTAATCTCTCTTTTAAAAATGTTTAGAGTTATCAACAGAAGTGCCTTCTCTTATGTAAATCCTATTTATTTACTAAATAACCAATTTAAAAACAAAGCCATCACAGGAAAGAATTAGCAGAAGTTATAGAAGTACAGAAAATTCACTTCTGGAAAATTCCATAGGCCAATTTCCACAAGGTGACTGAGGTGCACGAGAAAGTCAAAGTGAAGCCTTGAATGGTGTGCTCACAGCAAAGCTCTTGTGCATTGGGCTGGGCTTCTCTACACCCACCTTTCAACTTCTTGTTCAACAACAGAGCACTGGGCACAGAACAGGCCTACCTCAAACTCCAAGGACTACATATGTCTCATGCCTTTTTCTTCTCAGCTCTGCACAATTTAATTAATGATATGACATGATAAACACAATCTGTATCTTTTAATGAAAACAATGCCCAAAACTGGAATGAAAAACTTTGTTCGTTAAATGTTTTAAATTTTGCCCGATCTCAGTCACTTGAAAGACAGTTACATAATCTACACTAGGCATTGCAGAACATTTTCTAAACAGTAGAGGGTATTTCATCTCATTTGAGGCTTTTTGACACATACCTGAAAAGTATTTAAATAGTCCTTTGGACCTGAACTGAGTACATATATATATATAATATATATATATATATATATGTGTGTGTGTGTGTGTGTGTGTAAGTATATGCATATATATGCACACATATATATGCAGCTAGAAAACAAAAAAATCAGAAAATAGAAGGAAGTAATGGAATTAGATGAACCTTGGTATTTTGCTACAAAATTCTATCTTGCTCAGGATGGGAGAAAAATCAGACTTCCCCTTTCTTATCTATAGACTTGTAAATCTTCTAGAAATGTAAGTAGTCTTCCAGCTTTCTGAAATATTTCATCACTTATTAAAAACTGCAGTTACTACTGCAGTTAAAGGAATTACTACTCTCAAGTTTCCAAGAATGCCAGATCATTTTCTTTAGGTAATCATGATCACCTACTTCCAAGTCCCCCTTGTAAGCCATTTTAGGAAATGTAGTATAATGGTTAAGAGTTTGGCCTCTAAGTAAAGGTATTTTGGTTCTGATGAATAGTATTCTGTGATGTAGTGCAGTTTCCCCCTTCCTCTTCCAATTGCTACATGAAAAGCAAAAATATTAATAAATAAAAAAATATTTCTAAGAGCCTTAGATTACTATTTATTGTGTTAACACAAATATAATCTAAGTAAACCCTTAAGAAAGCTGCATATTTTCACTCATTTCTTTATCTCACAGTCTACATAAAACTGGAGTGTGAATACTGTCACCTAGGGTTTATTTTCAGCTCTAGCCAGGAGAAAGAATATTGAAAAACCCACTTTTCTCAAGTCTAGAGCAGTGTTAGGCTTCAATAGCTTCTAGCCACATTCTTTTAGCTCTTTCTCTTCAGAGAAGTAAACCAGGGCATAGTTTAAATTTTTATCACCATTTGCAAGAGCAGAACTTTGGTTCTGCTTTGGTTTTTAGTGTGGGCAGAAAAGTGCCACCCCTTTTTTAACACATGGTGACAGGGAATGGGGTCCCACATGAGGACTTCATGCTGTTCCTCAGGGAAGACTGAAGGCCCATTTCTTGTGTGCAGTCAGGAGAAACAAGGGGAGGACTGTGGTTGCAGCAGAGTGTAGGAAATGAAGGTGACTCCAGCTACAGCAGGACTCCACATTAGCTATTGATGCTGCTTTTGTAAGCTGAAACCTTCTGGATGAACTAGATACTAACAGCAAGTGACAATGGTCTTTTGTTTCATGTGCTCTTTGCTGAAGAAACAAGTTAATTTCTAATAACTACATGCAATAATTGTGCTTTTCTATGACATACAGATGTATATGAGCTTATTACAGAAAAATACAACTCAGTATTTAGTTTGAAGGATTTAGGAAATGTTTATAATTTCCAATATAATTACATGAAGTTCTTTAGCATACACAAGAGAACATAGCCTTTAACTACAGGACTCCTTACTACCCTTTTCTCCAAAAGACCTAACTCATTCTGGATATAAGATTGAATTAAATACTTGTATCTGTCTTAAACTCTAATGGTATGACCCTTTTCTGTTTTCTCTTTCTCCTCCAAATGGTTGCTGCTGTAGGTTACTTTCTAACAGATTTTCATTGTGCATAGTTTGTAGCAGCAATGCTACAGTAACTGAACAATAGAACACTTAATAAGTGAATATTCACAGCAGCTCAATAAAGATACCAATATTTTCAGAGATGAACAAGTGGAGAACAGAGCAAAACACTCCCAGAATCTGCAAAATTTGGTTTCCAAATACTGTCCCAAAGGATTGACTTATCCCAAGGGGAGACAATTTCTTCAAATATTTGGCATTTTAAAAAATTATTTTGATGTTCAACACACTGCAAAAATACAGTTTATTTGTTATTATGTTACTTTTGTAACACAATAAAACTTTTGTGAGAAGATGATTAACTGCTGTATTTCTTTATGACAGAAAAATTGTGAGAATTTAGATACATAATCAAACTGTCCTGTCTCAAAGTAACAAGCACCATAGGCATCTCTGAATAAGCTCTTTTACAATGGAAAACAAAAGATGAACTAGTTTTAAATCCTATTTTTTTGCAGACTGATGTGACCTAATTATCTCACATTTGACATAAACTAAAACCACACAGAAAAATACTACAGCTCACCTTAAAGACTGGAAGATCACTGTATGTCTGAGTGGTGGCATATCCTAGAGAGGGTGGTAATGGTAGGTCCAGAACTCAGGACTGTGGAGAGTCCCAACCCGAGGCTGTCCTTCAGAAGCAAGTGATTTATTGCAAATGATGTTGAGCACTCTCAATTCCCTGAACACAATTCAAAAGGTACAGTACTTCCCTAGGGCTCCAAAAATCTGAAAATCAAGATAAAGTTGGGCAGACATATTCAATAAAGAACATAAAATTAGTTGTCACATTAATATTTTTGCTTAAATGACCTAAGTAGCTTCACATAGCATCTCTGTTATAGGTTATAGTTCTGATGACAGAAAACTCTTGGAAGACATTACCTTCCAAATTCTGCATGCTATGATATAATGCAGTTACAAAACATAATAGAATTTGCTATACATTTCTAACACATTCCTGTTCCCTGCAAAGCACATGTAAAATGGGAGTGCATGTGACCCACCTGCATAAGGTCTCTAAAATGATCAGTGTGAACAAGAGAGAAAAAAAAAAAGGCAAAGGAACAAACTAAACACTGGTATTTATTTCTAGGTTTGAGGTTTTTTTTTTATCCTATTGTTTTTTAGACTTCTCATCTAAATTATTAATTTTTATACTACTATAAATTTATCAGGTGCTGCCTCAGTACCTTTTTCATACCTGTAATCACCTACTTGAGATGACGGCTCATAGTCCATGCACAGTAGTATGAGTGTGCTTTTGGCAATGTAATAAAAAAGGAGGTTTGTGGGGGTGAATTTTATGAACACCAACACTCATTATGTAGATATTAAAGCAGAGCAATTATATTCTTCCAGAGTAAATGAATTCTGAGTGCTGGATGAGAATGGGAACTTGTAAGAACAGGTTCGGTTGAAGTTGTGTTTAATTTCTTGATAATATTAACAAAATCAGGCCTTTGAAAGACTAATTAAAATAACTTCTTATTAAAATAAATGAATTGTGAGAGAATTTAAAGATTTAGACTGGAGAGGGAGGCAATTTTAAACACATTAATTTCTCTCTTCAGCTAGCCAACATCCAGAGAGTGTTTTAGAGCATCTGGCTTAGGTACTCTGGATTAGTTTCTGTAAGCAAAGATCACTCCACTGAATGTGTAGGTACTCTAGGTACCTGTAGCAGCAAAAGTAGTTATTTGAAGCTAGGTGATGAATGTGCTCTGTATTTCCCCAAATGTTGCACCAAGGTCATTTCACATAGAAGAAAAAAAAATCCTGATCAGTGGAGTAGGGGAATACAGACATCTTTTTACAGCTTCTACCAAGTTCAATGAGTTGGCAAACAACAGCTTTGTGAATGTCTCATGATATTCTCCAAATCAAAGAGATTTTCATTAAAAATTCAGAGAATAATTTTTGGGTCACTCAGGGGAATTCTTTATATCCCAAGGAAGTTTATGATATAGAAAACCTCAATTTGCAAATTGTGTAAACTTTTCCATAAACTTGGAAACATTTTTCTTTGATGAAAACTATTAGGTGGGTATAAACAGCAGGCTTGCAAAATAAATTGTTAAAGTAAGCCAAGCACTGTGAAGTTAGTTAAATATCAGTTACAGGTCAGTGAAACCAAAATTCAGGTCTTGTCATGTATACATTTGATGTAGTCAGTGTCTGAGTCAAACTTTGTTAGATTGGTTTTTTTTTTTGTTTCAACCATTAAGTTTAAAATAGATGAGGGTATTTTTTTTCTGCTTGATTTCATTCTTAAGAAAGGGCACTGAAGGAACAGCTATTCAGTATTTCTTTTATCCTCATTATTCAATGTGTTTTTTCCTTTATTAATTTTCTGAACTCTATTCCAAACTTTAATTTTTCTTGACAACATTATGACTTTCACAGTTGTCTTTCTGTGTCATTTGTGGTAACAGTATGTGAATACCTCATAAATGTAACTAATTATTTATTATATTCCTGAGTTAAAATAAAAAATTCAACACTGTTACTTTGCCTGGGTAAGCTAAGACTTGCACCTAACCTCAAACAGCATTTTACAGTCAGGCACAGCTGATGATGACACTTGTAACTCTGGTGAAAATCAGATCCAAAAAGTCTTTCTAAGATCTCAAGACAACAAAACCCACAACATTAGCAGCCTTTTACTTTGAGCAATTTTTCTACCCTCACACAAAACTGCTGATAGAGATGCTGAAGGACAATATAATCCATTCCTTTGTTTTGGCCAAACTCAGCTGTTTGCCATTAAACACCCTCTAAATCACTGGGAATGTCTGCCAGTGGTTCTGTGGTTAAGAGCCTATTTGGGCACGCAACCCTTAAACATTTCCACAGACATCCTCGTATATTAGGCAAGACTGCAATTAAAAATACAAGCACTGGGAAAATAAATCTGAGATAGGATCATTCTGGTGGGTGTCTAATTTGCTAATACAGACAGAGCTTTTGCTTGTTCTACATATTTCTCCTGACCCCTTCACCATGCACCCCAAACATCTTTTTCTGGATCTGACAGAAAAAAAGATTTATTATTTTTCTGAACTGTTTAGAATTTTGACCAAAATCCTTGGACTGAGCAGATACACATCTTGGAAAATTCAACATCTTGAAAATCCACCATCTTGAAGAGGACACAGTTGCATTTACAGAACATCTTAATGGTAGATAATATAGCCAGCCCTGCCAAAAGTATTGTACAACTCTGAATCTAAAATGATACCTAAATTGGTATAAAATAAAACTTTGGTTGTTTCTAGAACTGTCAGCTCTATAAAGTTTAAGAATATGTAGATTTTTAGGGTCCAGTCCAATTGTGCTCAGTGATATAGGGAGGACAGTGGGTATTACCAGGTGTCTCAAGCCCAGGTGTCTCAGTGTTTCAAAAACCTTTCATGCTCATCAAAGACATACAGCATGAGAAACTTACCATGTCAACAGGTGATGCAGCTATAGAAAAATAGGGTTATAAGGGAAATGGATGAAGAAAATAATAATAGGCTTCTTCAGCAGGTAGGGTCCCTATACACACACATTCTGCTGTGGCTTCATCCCAATTGCCTGGTAAAGTCCGGCAGGCACCAAGTGATGACAGCACAACTGAACTGTGGACAGAGGAATTCAGTTCTCAAAACATATTCCAGCTCAGAATGCATCTCATGTTTCATTTCCTGATGCAGCTTCTTACCCCCACCTGCTGCTTTGCCAATTGCACTTTATTACATCACTTTGACCTGCTGAGTGACCTTAGCCAAATCATGCAGCTTCACTGTTTTTCTAACTCTCCATTATAAGGCAGAGATTGACATACCTGCTGCCTTTATTTTGAGTTCAGTGCAACAATTTTCTTTTAAGTTCTGTAGGTGCTTTCATCTTTCAAGGACTATGCAGCATTATTGGGATGCCCGTAACTCTTTCAAATGAGCACTGGGTTCCCTAAAACATGTGTCCCACGTGCCTTCACAGTCTAATGAGCAACCCATTTTTGCCTTAGATCTGCAAACAAGTTCAGTGATACAAGAAGTATTGTGCCTCCTTCAGAAATGTGATAGTTCTCATGAAAATAAAGTGGTGACTACCACAAACAAATGAACTTGATTGCCAAGTTGAGATTTGAGTGAACAACAGTGCCAAGCAAGTACCTTCAACTAAATATTTTTCCTGCATGTGGGAAAATTGGTTATGATGACATGAAAAGTAAAATCTTGACATGGTACTGTGTCTAAAGTACTCTTCCTGGATCAAAGTTATTTCACACTGATGCTAGCAGGACATGAGCTGGAATGATGCAATCCAGTCCTTAACAGCTAAGTGTTCTGTTTGAATCTAATTAAACTATAAAACTGACTACAGATCACATTCTGAATTACATATTCCCTTGTCAGTCCTTGATGTCAGCATGGATTTTTAGTATATGAAACCTGAGTAAGATCTGCAAGATTAAATTCTCTATCAGAAAGCTACTTTGCTTAACATGAATTTTATGTAATACAACATTCCTGTCAGTTGTTTGTATCTTTGCATCATTACATCATGAATTCTAAAACGGATACCAAAAAGGTATTAAATACTCAAAACAGTATACAGAATAAAAAGAACCCTATCAGTTTTGAATACTCAGAGAATGCCACACTAAATTCTTGTATTATTAGCAAATAACAGAATTTCATTTGAATGACAGTGTCATTGATTATGTTCTTCTGAGAAGAAGAGAAAAAAGTGGAAAAAAGAAAGAAAAAAGAAAGAAAAAAGAAAGGAGCTGCATTGGCAAGACCTTTTCACTGAATTTTGCCACTGGTTGTATGGGATTGTTATGAATTTCTGGAAGAAATATAATTATTAGCTAAGCAATGTATATGTTAAATATGAATATAGTAAATCATGATACAAAATATTTGCACAGGTTGTTTTGTGTACTGTTCAGAAGTAAAGAAAGCAAGCCCACCCAGAATGCTGAGTCACAGATGAGCAGCTCAGCAGTTTGTACCTCTGACTTGGTGGCAACACAGTGTGAAGATCTTGTAATGCAAGGGCATGTAACATGAGTATCCACTGCTTTCCTGGGAGTGAGACATCCATCATGAGCTAATGCATCCAGCATGGCAACAACAGTGCCAAACAAGCTAGAAGCAGCTATTCTCACACTGTATAATAATACTCTATAACAAGAAACTATACCTCCATCAAATCAATAAGGTATAGCAGCAACAGAAATAAACAAGAAACATCATGTTCATAATTAATTCTACTCTTATCAGGGTACTGAAGCATTTCTATTTTTCTTGTACACCCAAATGTTGTGAAAAGATATTAGAAAGTTCTAATTGTTCCATACAGCATCTTGAAAAGTTCTTAGAGCAAATGCAGGATATAGAAGATCAACTGCACATCTTTTTCTTTCATATTTATCTTTTTAATATGTGAATGATGACCTATACCATTACAGCATGGGTGTGATCTTCTTCCAACAAACCTTCCTTCTGATTTACATATTTGAAATGTGCCTGCAATTGCATTTTCAACAAATCTTGTTATCCTCTGGTAAAGAGGATACTAGGTTTCAAAATTAATTCAATTATTCTAGGAAAGGAGGCATTTATGTCTTTCAATAACTACCCAACATAGCCTATTAAAAGGATTTATATAAGAAAAACAAACCTTTGAAACAGTGACCTGTTTTAGTAGAAGTTTAGAAATCTATATTTCTTATGCTTAAGTTGACAAAAATTGCTTCTCTTTGAGAACAAAGACTTTGTTCCAGATATGCATGATTTAGAGATATATTTCAACATGTTCTGCCAGGATGTAATACAAATAACTTAGTCCACCAGAGACTGTGAAAGGACAGAAAATCTTTCCTGTACTCCTACTGGCAGGCACAGTTCAGATTCCATGGTTTCAGAATACAAATATGGTATAAAATGTCTCCACTAAAAGATACTTTACTCTCAGGAGTAAAGCTCATAAATTGTCTAATAGCTATGTAGATCAGCAAATATTTCAGTATGAATCATTTTTCTTAATGTTTCAAATGAACATTAGCATCTGACTGCCAGGACCAGAAACAAAACCAACTGAAGAAAAAGGAAAGGCTTAATGATTTCAAAGCTTTCTGTCAGCATCCAATGATAAACAGTAATGACTAGAAAAATTTAATTAGCCGAGAACAGAGTGGATGATGGTGATCATCTCTGAAGCCATAACTGGTCTGAGAACTGGTTATCTGTGTGCCTGTTCTGTCTCATGAGACCAGTACAGTAAAATAGATAATGTGACACTTTTTCTGATAACTCTTGGGTTTTAATAACTGACAGAAATCATAGAGTGTATCTGGGTTTTTAATGGAGGACAAAAATCTTCAGAAGACATTAGCATTATTTTTCTGTTTAGTATTCAAATATTTTTCAGTTTTTTCTGTGATTTTGCTTGCTAATTCAGTTTTTTTTTTGTACTTTGATTAATCTGCTGACAACAGAAAATGACATGAAATAATAACAAACATGATCTTTATTCTTCAGACATTAACTACAGCCAACTTTCCAATTATAGCCTTTCTTTTTGTGTAAAAACTTTGTAATCTGTTGGTGAAATGTTTTTAATCCTACTTTGAAAAAATGCATCTAAAAATGAACTCTGTCCTCCCGATCCCTAAAAATCCATAGATTCTGTATAGGGATAAATTGGTTCTTTGTCAAATAGGATTAATTTATAACCTATTCTATTATTCTAACTTTGTGAGTATTTTTCCCAAACTTTATCTTCTTGCAGTCTTGAAGAAGACTTCTTTATTGAAGGTCTAAAACATTACAAAAGAATTCAGTTAATACTTATTAAAAAACCCCAAAACTATTTCCTTTAACATCTTTGCTAAGAAGTTGTTAGCAAATATTGTTTAAGGAGATTATAATCTTTCTTAGATCTGGTATTTCTTTTCACAAAAGAAATTACAGAAGACAAAGGAGAACAATTTTCTTTCAAAATATGTAGCTATTTAAGAAAATTAGGTAGAGTTTCTCAGTTGTCTCTTCATTTTACACAGTATTTTTCCATAAACAAAAGGAAATACTAGTAAGATTTACAGAATATAAGGTATCCCTACAAAGGTTGTATGATGAACACTGATATCCAGTGCTGTCCTTATTTAACCTTTATACAGTCTTGTTTCTGCATGTTAATGCAATACAATATGGAAAATGTTCTAGGACTTCCTTCTCTTAATGGATCACAGGTTTCTTTAATTCACTGACAAAGATTTTTTCTCTCCAATGTTTAGCTAATTTGATGATTCTCTTTTACCTTCATTTATAACTTTGTAGCTGTAATATTTGACTCATGCAAGAATTTGGACTTCTTAGAAAGATAGTTCACAAAACAACACTGCTACTGTCAAACATGAAGAAAATACATCATTATTGTAGAGCAAATTGGTTTTTATTTGAACACAATACATTGGTTACTTGTTCTTGATTTTAACCGTCAGATAATAATCCTGGATGATATTTCACGAGGACTACCATAAATCCATATTATCATGATGAAATAATAAGCCTTTCAATGGATGCAATCATATATGTTAATTATCCATTCCCTAATGGTAACTTGGTTGCTTTACTCAGTTCCTGATATGCAGCTCAGTACCTCAGTCTTGGCTGTGGTTTGGCAGCTCCCTGGCAACACAGACACTTCCATCCTGCCATGCCCACTCACAAGGTCTGCACACCCATTTCCTCAGAGCTACCACAGACACAGTGATGTGTTCCTCAAGCCCTCACTCCCCATCACTAGCAGCAGTGTTAGGCAGTTTGGAAGTTCAGCACATGTCTAAATAAAATGGAGTAATTGTGTCTGGGCTATGGAAGCGGTCTGGATTAAGGGGATAAAGATCGCTTGGCTTTATGGCTGTAGCTCCGTCACTCTGAATGGAGGTTGAGGACCTCATTAAGTTACAAAAACATTGCAAATATCCTCTGTGGTGAGGTCAGATATACTGTGCTTCCTGAGGTTCTTAATTTATTCATATGAAGATTTAAGATCTTTGCTTAAACACTGTAACCTGAATGAGTTACATGGTGCTACTTTATTTTCTAATAAAAGTTGCTGCTTTAGAAATACCTAATTTTTTCAGTTAGAATGGCTCTTGAATACATGCAAAAAGGCTGCTAAATAAAATAGAATTTGCTAATTTAACTACTGAAAAAGTGCAAAAAAACTATATAGCACTACTTTCTTCTAAAGATCAAACTTTTATATATGAGGTCAACAGAAACAAGAAGATCTTAGAAATATTGGAATAAAAATTTTGCATTTTTAACCTATCTTTCCAAGTGTTTTTCACTTGTTTATTTTTGGTATTTTATATTGCTTTCTTCTTTGTATTACAAACAAAACTAATTGGTAAGTGAGTTAAGCCAAATAAAATGGTTGGTTGGTGACAAATGTCTTGGAGTGATCTGTAGCATGAGTGAAATTACATGTTTTCTAGTGGTGCACATAAGTTTTCAGGACCTCAGAATTGTGGCTGACTTGATGATGGATGTGTGGAATGTGTCACAGCTTTTCATGGAAGACCTGAAGAGAGCCATTAATTAGAATAATCTGACTCTCTTGTTACTCTCACAAAAATTAATAAAGTGGATTATGTTTCTCCTAAGACTTAGCTGATAAACTGCAAGGCTTCTTCAGAAACAGCAGTGAAATATACTTTTAGTTAGCACTGAACAGCACATGCAGTCTTGGGTAATTTTTCATACTATTTTCCTGAAAATCAATAGAAAAAATATTTGCATAAACAGTTGCTTGTTTGCACTGACTCAGCCTACTTTTGCAAAAGAAATCTTATGTAAGAATATTCACAACGCATCACTTTACTGACATTTTCTGCCATTTTTAAAATTTAGACAAGTAATGGCTGCAAAGTAGACTTGGAGACAGGAATATTAAAGGACACTGCTCTGCTATAAAGCTATATTTATTGAAGTCCATCTTCAAGGAGTTCACAGTAGTTACCCTCACATAAAAATGTGATGCACAAGTGAGAAATTAATTTTATCTACTTTGCCCTGGATCTCACATCAGGTATGACCTGCTCACAACTTTGGGTTATTAATCAATTCAGCAAGGCATAGGAGAATTTCCTAGAATAGTTATATAGTATAATCTATAATACATAATAATCTATAATCACAGTTATACCAGCATGAAACTATTTATAGCAATGGAAAGTATTTTTTTTTTCTGTAGAAATATATACTGACCAAAGCAAATTAGTGTAACTACATGCAAGGTGGGTAGATGGAAGATTTTCCTACAGAGATACACTCACACTGATGTGACTGTAATATGCAGACAAACCTTAATGCCATACTATATCAATTTGGTCTGTAGGGTGGTTGTAGCACATCAATAAAACAAATTTATAAAGATCTTGAGGCAACTCTTTGGAAAGGAAAATGAAACCCTTTATATCTTGTTAACTGTTGAATACCTGGAAAATGTTACATCATCCAGACCACAGTCATGGCAAAAGATGCCAGAGTAATAAATGTATCTAGGACTGTGTATTTGTGTAATATTATCTAGTTAAGAATGATGACAAGAATTTGTACTTTTTGTATTGTTATTAGGTTCATACTTCTGAGTCCATGGACAAAGTTGTAATTGAGCTGGATTTTTTTTTTTTTTTGTTTCCAACAATGACATTGGTCTTCAGTCAAAAATCTCACATATAACTTGAAGTCTATTTAAGAAGGTCATCCAAAATACACCTTTATGTTTAAATGTATTTAACAGAGAAATATAAGTAATGCCTCTATCTGTGCCATTGCATAGTAATATCTAAATGTCCCTGCCATTCTAAAGAATAAAAAAGAAAAACCTACTAAGCATAAGAATAAATAACAAACTTCCTGTCTCTATCCAGATACAATTTGCATAGGAAGAAATGTTAAATATTTTCAAAGGCAAAGACAATCTAGCATTGCATTTTATTTTGCTATGTGAGTACCCAAAACGTAGGCATGCTTTTAATAAACAGAAATTCCTATTTTTAGCAAGAGCAGTTATAAAGTACACCATCTTAATATTTACCATTAAGAGGCTAGATAACAAGACTTTTTTATTGAAATGAAGAGTATCATAACACACATGTAAATGTTTTGATTGCCATTATACCATAATCACTATGCAGATACGCAGGGAAACATTGCTGGAAGGACATTTATTTTAAAACTGCAGCTGAATACGCTTTTGTGCGTAAGTAAAAACAAATGCAGAGATAAAACAGGAAATAGGAAAACCCCCTGAGATGCAGCAGAGCTTACCTGACCACTTCCCAGCAGATCTGCTGCTTAGCTGTCCAGTGACTGTGAGTCCCTGAAATAGTGAGACAGAATAAACTCAATGTAACCATCATGTAGCCTACACAATTCACTTTAACACTTCAAAGGACAAAACATATTCATCATAAACTATTCAAAAAGAGCTAGCATGCAACTCCAGCTGCAAGAAATTTTGTTCACAAACTGAACAGCAATCGGCCTGTACTTTAGTCACATCAAAAAAGTAAACCAATCACATTGACAAAAAGCCACTGTAAACAAAAAGACTGTACTGAAAGGATTAACAGTTTTGGCATCCCTACCATCAAGTTTTCTGTTTTTTTTTTTTTTCTTCATCAAAATTTAGGTTATATATTTGTTGTTAGCAAGAGTTGCATTACTATTATTGTTAATTTTAGTTCTGTTTATTACCTTGAGGGTTATATATTGTAGAATAATTTTGTTGTCACTAGTTAATGTTAATTAGTTGTTTTAATAGCCTATATACCTATTTGTTATCTTTTGGTAGGTTTACTTTTTTAACTATCAGTAACTTAATAACTGAGAATATTTTACATTACTGTTGCATACTCAAAATTACAGAGTTACTATTAGTGTTACCTGTTTAACGTTTAGTCATCCTTTGAGTCCTGCGACATATTTCCTTAATAATCATCAGCCATCAAGTCTGATAGTCTCAAAAGAAATATCAGCCCTCTAAACTGCATTCAAGGGCGGTGATATTTAGCACTGAAAATTACAAATAAAGTTTTTGAAGTTGAGTACCAACAGCTGGGCAGTGACACTGATGATTTGTTTATCAAGACAAATTGTTATATACTACGAAAAATGCAGTCAACGCACTCTTCTGAGTGAAAACAAATAGGTGAATCTATGCAATGCTTACATGTTGAATGGGATATTTAATGTGCGGGGAAACTCAAAGGTTGAAGAACTAGCATTTAGACAGTCTAACAGTGGTAAGTGGTAATCTTACCTCTTTAAACTCCATTACATTCTCACGAGAGACATGCTAATACAAACAAGTCAATCAGAGTTTGTGTTTAGCAAGATCAAGCTTAAAGGATAGTTTAAAATCCATTTATTGTTCTAAAGCATTTTTTTCCATTAACATGTTATACATTAGTGGATACTAACCATGATTCATGTAACAGTTTAGTTTGTTAACTTTTATATTATTTAACAACCAGAAGTTATTAATACAACTTCTAAAGTCTTACACAAAAAATCTTAAAACAGGCTTGGGTTCATTTTTGTAATTTTTATATAAAAACATTTTAGGCATCTCTTGAAAAAGAAATAAAGCAGGCATTTAAAGCTAGAAAACAAGTAATTCCAAATTTAGTTTGTTACAAAAGGTTTCAGCTTTATTGACAAATTATGGCAAACATATTTGACAAAATTATGGTTTCCTATTTAGAGAAGCTTACACATGGAACTTTAAGTGATTTTTTTTAACAAATACAGGTTAAAACACTGAACAACTTCAGTTAGCTACATACATACAGTAGCTGCTTGTTTTCAACCCCATTAAAACAGCATTTAAAATTAAATTTACAAACTTAATATCGAGCATCTTAATCTAAACTAACATATATTAAAAAAGACAGATTAAAACATCTTATCTACAGCTTGATTATTGTCTGGCTCGGAAAAAAAAAATCATATTACAGTCTTTCAGCAACCCTAAACAGAAACTCAGCCTTAACTAGTATGTAGAGAGACTCAAGAGCTGTAACAGTGTCATGCTTTTTAGTTACACACAGCAATGAATACAACCAACAGAACATCATCTTTAAATAGTTTATAGACAATGCTTGCCAAAGGTTTTTTGTCTCTGTTTTTTTTAAGTCCGTGTTATAAAATAATACTAATGCCAATGTCACGCCAATGTTATAGGAAATACAAGTAAGTACATAGGATAATAATGAGCAGTAATTCCTAGGATAGAAAAGAAATGGACTATTACTTGTCTTGTTGCTGTTTATGTGGAGACCACAGGCTATTAATTGTCTTTGAGATGAGGTCACAGATGAGGAGGACCTTCAATATCTACCATAGGGGTGTTCCCTGTATCCCCCTCTGGCTGACCTTGGAGGTGGTGCCTTTAGGCTGGAACGGGTCGTGGCCCATTCTTCTTGTGCTAAAAACAGAAGAGAAAAACAAGTTTTGTAAATATCTAAAATTGAAAGAACAAAGGGATGCCACTGTTAATGGCTGTCAAAGTTCTTAAGGGTTCTGGCAGAAAGCTTTAGAAAAATTAAATGAGGATGGTTTTATCATCCACTTCTTTATCCTCCCACAGAAAAACTCACAGAAGACCAACCCACTTCTCTACACAGGAAATTTGTCTCTCTTAGGAAGAAAAAAAGGCTTACTCCTTCACTTTCAGCAGAGAATGAATAACTATTGTGTTGGTGGTACAGTCAGCTCTGGAAAAATCATTGCATTAGTCTGCCAGTTCAGAATTGATTTGCTGTTTTGAGTTTCTAGTATTTAAGTTAAAGCAAAAATTTGAACAGCATTTAATGCAGTTGGTATGGTAACAAGATGAGGAGTTGAATCATAAAAAGATAAAAAAGATATGTTTGCTTTTTAACTTCCATTTGAGACCAAAAGAAAGAAAATAATGGAAGAAAAATGTGTAGAAGTGAAGCTAGAGGAGATTTTACTTTGCAGTATCTTTAAAACACTTTTTCCTATTTAGCTAATCAAATATGCTCAGGAAGATAAAAACTCTTAGTTCAGTTTTTACAATGTTTCTACAAATCTTCTTCTTCCTCCCTGACATGATATTTATGGAATTTTACCCTCCCAAAGGCACAATTAGTAAACTCCCTACAGTTCTGGTCTAGCAGTTAAACCCAAAAGTTGAATTATCTCCTAAATAAGCCAGTGGGTCATCAAATGATTTCTGTTTTTGTCTTCCACTGACTTGAACTGATGACACTTAGAGTGATTACAATGGAAATGCACAAGCTGCAGCGTATCATATCATGCCAGAGTGCAGCAATGGTGTTATCATGTTTTTGCTAATGACTGCTGACCATTTTGGCTGCTAAGAACATAAATATCTGTCACGAGGCAAAAAAACCCCTAAATGGTCAAATCAGGTATCAAATATTCCTTTTGCAAAAATATGTGAGAAATGAAAATATTAAACATACATGAAAATATAAAACTAGAAATGAAAATATAAAACATAAAAACATGGTTAAAATTCTGAAAGCTATTTCTTCTCTGCAAGATGTCTTCTCTGCAACTACTCTTATCTCATTGCCTTGAGGTATGAGGGGAATAGCAGCTGTAGAGCTAAAGTGAGTTCAGGTTAGCATGTATAAAGTGGGCACCACTGGAAAAGTCTGGTGACAGCTGATCTTGCTATGGAACAAGAAACATTTCTACTGTGATTTTTTTGGTGCACTTCATTTATTTTCCTTCTTTTTGAGTTCTTCAGGATGTTCTCTTTTTGAAAATCAGTGGTTTTATAGTCACATGAAACCAAAGTTTGCTGTGGAAAGCTACTGCCTAGAGGGTTGAAGAAGTGGCAGCCAATATGATATGGTTCTAAATCCTCAGATCTCTCATTCCTACAGGGAATAAGTTTCTGTATAGTGAATTTAAAAATCCTGCCTCTGCAGTATATATCACTACACCCTCTAAAAATAGCATTTTGCTGTAAATTTTTTCCAGCTTCAGTTACCCTTTGCTGAAGTGTTGCTACATTTGCAGAGAGGCCTTGGGGACAAGGAAGATTTATATGAAAAAGAAAAGCTTCATTTAAATAAATTAAAATTACTGAAGTAGTAAAAATATTCAGAAAATGTACAACACAAAGATAAGCCAATTTCTTGTTCCTTTTTAGTCCCCTCAACATTGTCCAGACTGAAGCATCTTCAAAGAAATGTGAAATGTACAGTCTTTTGGTAGTTCTCATGCAGTAAAAAAAGACTTTATATTACCAACTGGAGGAAATGGCTTTTCCTTGACTGTTCCTAAAGCAAATTGCTCCAGTGACTGTATGGACTATATTTTTTGTTCTTATATGGAACAAAAAGTGAATCATAATTTGTAGTACAAGCCTCTTATGCTCTTTTTTTTAGTAACATGGTGGACCTATTCCCTTGATTTCAAGCTTTAACACCGTCACTGAAACACAAAGTGATAGTTGAGAGTTAACAGTTCCTGTTGATATTGCATGATAGATACTGTATTAACAGGTGAATCCATAGCCAAAACAGATGTGGAAGTTCTGGGACTACAGCCTTTGACTGGGAAAACTCTGGTGTCTACCACACATACTGCAGTAAAGGATTATATATTTATTGTGGAGAAAGCAAGATGATAGGGAGCAGCATTATCAAGAGTGTCTGAACCACACTGTGCTAGTACATCACTAGATGAAGCCACACCAAAAGAGAAATCAGATTGCTAGTGGTTTTCTCCTGGAGAGGTTTTTAATGAACAACAATATACCTGCATGCTAGTCATTACAGGTTTGTTGCCATGAAAGCTGCTCTTTTATGTCTTCCTTCCAGAACTCCAAGGTAACCTTTTTCTTTCAGCACCAAGGGAATAAAGGGAGCTCCTGAGAATGGAAATCTCTATCTTTGGGAAAAATCTTAAAAGGCTAGAGTCCTATAGACTACCTCAGCAGTCACACAGAGATTTAGGTAGCTCCTTGGGTAGTGGAAGGGTCAAAACTTTGATTACCAGGCTGAGTTTCACTGTCAGAACGGGAGAACAGTGAGTGAGCCTGGTCTTTCTCTGAAAGACTGTGCCAAAAGGGGAAGAAAAGAGAGCCTGGACATACTTCATCTTAAGAAAGTGACATGTATTTCATCTTAAGAAAGTGACATGCTAATGAAATGGAAACTGAGAGGCATTTCAGGTGAAGAGCAGGCAATAGATGTAGCTTTGGAGAGAGAAAGGTAATTGGGAGAACTGCGACAGACTGCCCAAGAGCTGAAAAAAGGTGCAGGGTGGTTGATGTGTTCTAATGCTGATTCCTTTTCCTTTTTTCTCATTCCTGGGAAGAAAAGTCCTGTGAAGTCTGACCTTCCTCTTCCCTCAGTGACATGCAGACTTCCATCCAGTCTTTCTGCTCTAGCAGACCACACTCATTCTCTGTCCTTTTCACTTCTGACTGTCTCCAGTGCTATCAGGTGTCAAAGACTATGGCTAAAAAGAAATCCACACAAGTGGCTTAATAACTGAGGGCAGAGGGTTCAGTTTCTTCAGGAATTTGTTGTTATTGGCAACTTTGTCATTCTTATTTAAGGAGAAATATTTTATGTTTTGCTTTCAGAAACTGAAAGTGTAAGCTATTGCAGCATGATGGAAACTTAAGAGAGTTTATAGGTGAGGAATCTGAGAGTGCTTGGGCTGAAGGATTGCTTTGGGTGTGATAGCATCATAGCTACTTTTCTAAGAAATGTAAAAACATGGGCACAGCTCTTTTATGTCTTCCAAACTCCTATATGCTCCTGTAAATTGGTATTTGAAGTTCACCTTTAGGATATAAAATTAATTCTTATTATCACAGCAATCAGCACCCTTGGTTTATGCCTGATTGAATTTGCATGTTAGTGTTTTTGCACTGCTTTTATGGTTCAGATGGACTCTTAATTTATTACAGACATAACTGATACATTACTTGAGGATGTCTTTAAAGATTATTTTTTTGATCAACTGCTAGGAGACTCCATAGCTCTAATCTGTTTAAATAAAGAATTTTAGTTTTTGTGGTTTTGTTTTTTTTTTTTTTTTTTTTTTTTAACTGGCGATTCAGAATGTAAAAAGATAATTTAATTTTTAACGTGTGAAATTTCTTTGAATATGGGATCAAAACAGTAACATTTATAGCATAGAGACAGGTACATATGAAGTTGTTTCTTCCTTACTATTTTACCTATGCATTATTGAAAGCACAGAAAAATTCAGTGGTCTATCCATGTCGTGGTTATCATCACATGCTAAATGTCTTTAAGTAAAGATTCAAGAAAATCACATATTTTTAACTCTTCATTTAGCATTCTGCAACCTTATAATGGACTTTTCCAGAACTGAATAAAAGTCTTTGAAATATGCAAAGAGGGGAAAAATGCAATATTTAAAGGACAGATCACAATAATGGATGAGTTAAAAATAAAAATATATATTAATGGCATACAATTTACATAGGAATATATTATTTCCTAATTATTTTTTTTATAGTCATTGCTTAGTCCTGATACTAATCGAGACCTGATCACTTTTTCTTCCCAGTAACTTATTTGACATCTGAACATTGCCCACAATTACTGGGCACATTTTTATGAATTTGTGGTCAATTATTTTGGAAAGGTGGCCAGAAAAAGATCAGAAAGAGCTATTCTGATTAGATAGTTAAGAGGTATATAACAAGTAGTAAGTAGTGTAATGGTTCAATTTGATTTTTCATTTACCTTTTGGTGTTTTAGAAACAGAAGTTGATTTTGATTCAGAATAAAACAGTTTTCTGTAAGGAAAAAAAAATCTCTTTCACTGCAGCATATATGTGGAGAGAGCACACTGCACAGGAATTTGGATTATTATCTCTACTCCTTGTTTTCTCAGTGACCTCAGACAATTGTTCAATATTTTGTAGCATGGCTTCCTCACTGGTAGAATGAGACAGGAATACCTCTCTCCCTGGGGTGTTCTGAGATGTAATTAATTGCCTGAGCAGTAAGAGAAAAGTGATACAGATGTGCTGAGCAGAAGACCCAACAGAAACGAGACATAGCTTTAAAATGAGAACTCTTAGAATGCCTTTCTTTAGACTTTGTGCTGTATTTCTAGTAAGCCTCCATAGAAAGATGGATGGAGACAAAATACTACTTGCAAATGGCTGGAAAATTTGTGCTACACAAGCTAATGACTGAAGCTCAACTAACTTTGACAAATGCAGTATTTCAGCCCAAAAATTCACACAGAAAAGGTAGCTGCACTTTTCTTGTGTCATAATTGGACAAGTATATATTATTTTAGACAAAAATGCAAGAACAGATTTTGGTTTTTGGTTTGGTTTTTTTTTCTTTTTTTAAGAAGAACATGCACCTTTTTCATTCTTCTGGTCTTTTTTTTTGCTTATGCGCAAAGCTTGCAAATACACAGGATTTT